TTTTTTATAATTCAAGTAGTTTGGTTTAACACATTAGCTTCTACTTTAGCATCTAAGATGAGTCACCTTAATCATTTGTTCTAGCAACATTATGGCCTTAAGCTAAACCATAACCCCATAGATTACTTCATATTAAGTCTCTACACTCTATATTATGTTAACAAATATACTTAATCAGAATAAATACAGAAAATGAAGGTGACTTACAGAAAGCATTCCACTTCCAGTTACTTTAACTTCCAAATAAGACAACACAAATTTACTTAAAAAAATAAAAATTATTAAATTGGACAGCAGAAATAGGACTTTTGGTCATGGATCTCTAAAAACGGTCATTTGGGAACATGCTATTTTGCTTTATCCCTCACCGTGCTCTTCAAATATTTAATATTCCTGCCACAATTTACTGATACTCTAATGAGTCAGATACACTTTCATGATTATGCAACATTTTTTTTCTCTGCTTGAATACCTTCAGGTTGATGTTTAGATTTAACTTATTATTTTGGGCACAGCTGAAATATTATACTGCCTGCTGGGCAGAAATAAATCATTATCCCTTCAGTCTTCTATACCATTTGTTTATAATTTCACTATAACTTGCATGTGTTTTTCTTCCTATTACAATATCTTTATATCCAGTTCCACTGGACTATGTGCTTTTTCGTAAGGACACTGTATGTATAGCTTCTCACGCTTTCTTGTTCCCCAAATCTAACCCAATACTTATAACGTCTACTGTGCTTGTCAACTCAGCCATGCTGGTCTTTCATCTTCCTATTTTCACTTAACTATTTATAGTTTCTAAATGTGTATGTTCTTTTAAAATAATTGTTTGTATTAAACTATTTTACTTGCATTTATATATAGATTATTGGTTCGTGCTTATTAAATTAAGTGGCAATTAAAAATATAAGAATAGAAATGTAAAGGTCATTTTGCATATAAAATTTAAAACTTGATTTCTAACTTGCTTAGTTGACTCATTTTGAACATACAAACTATGCAGAAACCTGTCAAGATAAATTAAGCACTATTGTCACTATAAGAGAACAAGTTTCAGTAATATTTTATACATATTTAATAAATGTCAGACCACCCTATACGCGTAACAAAATATTACTTTTAAAAGTCTTTAGCTACTTGGAGGCTGAGATTGGAAGGATCAGAGTTTGAGGACAGCCCAAGTAAAGAGTTCTGGAGAACCACATCTCCAAAATAACCGGACAAAATGGACTGGAAAGGGAGGGGGTGGGGGCAGGGTGGGAGAAATGACCCAAGCCTTGTATGCACATATGAATAATAAAACAATAAAAAAAATGGACTGGAGATGTGGCTCAAGTAGTAGAGCACCTGCTTTGCAAGTGAAAAGCCCTGAGTTCAAATCCTAGTCCCACCAAAAAACCCATCTCTAATATGTATTTAATGCTAATAAGAAATAATATATGCATTAATTTTAGAAATTGATACCTTAAAGTTTCCAGGGAGACTACTTTTTCTTGGAAATAATTTTAATTACCACACTATAATTGCATTTCTAAATCTAAAAATCATTTTCTAAAGTCTCTAAATTTCTGTTATTTGCATGAGATACAAAGATTACATTAAGTATTTTATGGCTTACATATATGTTTGTATCAAAGCAGTCAAATATTCCTACCAAAATGTCACAAATAATAGTGCTTTTATGTTACACATTATGACTCCTACTTTCCATTTAAACGGATAACGCCATGCCAGTCCCTCACCACATCACTATCCCTCCATGTCTAATCTCATGTTCTATTTCATCCTTTATCATCATTATTTAAAGTATTTTCTTTAAAAAATTTACCTTGCCACTCCAAATTCAATTATCCTATTTCTTCCATCTTCTTCAAAGTATGCATAAGCAAAGTTAGTGTCTAGACATGTGCTACAGAACAACAAAGAAAGTTGGGAAGATAACTCCAATCCATAAACCTAGCTGGTACATTTTTATAATGCAAAGTGACATTTCAAAGGATGAGTTAATTGAAGTATTTAAGAAAAATATTCAGTAGTTCAAAGGAATTAATTTTATCCACAGTGAATTAACTAAAACTAAAAAAGGAAAATACTGAATATGACTCATAAAGTTATAGTCAAGTGTATCATTTGACTAAAGCTTCTTGATCTATAATACACAAATTTATTCAGTTCAGCAATACAGGGGCAGTTGTACTTTACCATTAAAACAAAATTTTAAAACCAGAATGAATTTTTAAATTTGTTTTTCTGCTAAGGTTTCAATGCTATTGTAACACTTTCAGGAAGGGAATCTATTTTATATCTTCAAGGCCATTGTCCCCTTAGTTTAAGAAAAATACAAATCTACTTCACACTGATTTTTCATTCTTTGTTCATTTAGCTAAATCTGACAACCCAAAGCACTTCAACCATTAATCCTAATTACGATATACTATGCATTTCAAAACAAAAAAATCTAGGACAGAAGTCACCAACAAAGTCTATCTGGAAAATTGTTACTTATTCATACTGACAACATTTTAGCTACTATTTCATACAAAGTAAAGCTATACCCACCATATTTGTTTCTCCATCTCATATTTTGATTCTGCTTATTTCTTTCAGTTTTAATCTCATCTCTCATTTCCCTATGCATCTGGACTCTAACCTATAACATGTACTTTGCTTTCCATCCTTAAATCCCCAACCCTACTTCAGTCCTTTAAATCACTCCTTCTCCAAATGTCACAGCTAAAGAATAATCATACCAGTTGTGTGCATTTGTTCAACATAAACACACATTGGAAATTTCATCTCTTTTAGTTTACATACTTACTTTTCATTAGCTTATCTTCAGTCAGATCCCTCTTCTATTCCCCTTCATGGGAATACCAAAAACTTTTGCCACTTTCTTCAATTGTCTACCTCATGGTACATTTAATTCTCCATAGATGATTTGAACTTATTCTCCATAACAAATTGAGACAATCATAGGAATCGTACTTCCTACAAGCAATATCCTTGCTTACAGTTTGAAGAAAGAAGCATCCCTCACTCTTCCTAAAGCATTCTGTCTTGATTGTTTTTAATATCATATCCTCCAGAACTCTATGACATTGGTCAATCATTCATCCTTTCTAACATTTTTCTTCAATCTCCTTGGCCCTGAAGTGTCTCCTAGTCTATAGCTCTATATATCTCTATTTATCTACCTATCTATCTATCCATCCTTGACTGCATGCATGAATTTTCTAGTTTCTACTCTGTTGCTACTTAAAATTTCAATAAAGGCTAATACAAACACAGTCACTACATCATATTCTTTTTATTCATGGCAATTAGTTTTGTCTCCCTCATGAAAGTTTTTCTTTCTTCTTCTCAGTCTTATCTATACCTTCTTTATGCTTGCCCTTAAAAAATGATTCTCCTGAGTTCCAGTCTCCATAAGCCTCTCATTCTCTGCCCTTTGTGTTCCTTACATATATGTCGAACTGCCCAGATCTCCACTTACTGTCCCTGAGATATGTGGAAATCAATAAAATATTTCTTAGCTCTCTCTCTAATCCCATTAAATTTAATTTCATCTAGTGACACCAAAATTTACCAAACTTACATTCTACAATCTGTTCATCATTGCTCTGGATTGAGACAATCAGAAAGAGTTTATATATTTACTCCTTCATCATTTCATGGGAGTTATAACTACTGTTAAGTGAAAACTTTAGTTCAGGTTTTCACCATGTCTCTTTGAATTACTATAGAGAGGTCCTCCCCTAATTTATTTCCATATTTTGGCCTCAATTTCTCAAATACATTCTTTGTTACAAGTAACACTGAAAGTAAATCAGATCATAACATCTACTTCCTTAATTTAAAATTCCTAATTGGTTCTTTAGTCACTTTCCAACACCTTTTATGATCCGATTCCTAATTCTGCAATCTCGCTCCTCCATCACTCCAATCCTAAACCCATAATTTAAAAAACAAAGCAAAACAGTGACAATGTTTTAAACTCTTTTGAACACACACCTGTGTAATTTAAGACAGTTTTGTTTGTACCTTTTGTTCTTGCCTGAGAATAAGTTTACCCTGATGCTCATAACAGAAAAATTCTATAACCTTGAAACGTGGCTCTACTGTCTCTTTTCAGAGACAGCACTCTGCAATAATCTCTACTGGACAGTGTTAATCATATCTTCCTCTGTGATATCCCTGTACTCAATGTTCTTAGTTTTCTATTTGCCACATCATACAGTGCCCCTGATTTAAAAAAAAAAAAACAACTCAGAATTTACATCTTTATTATGTTATGCACAAATGACTTATGAACACGTACACTATATTTGACACATTACCATGAAATAAAAGTATTTTGAAGGCAAACATATAAAATGTTCTTACAAATTAAAAAAATTAATTAGGGATTCTTTTTAAGAATTTAATACTATAGTACTAAAAAAAATCAACTTAACAACTCAGGAAACAGAAAAAACATCTCTAAAATTATGTAGAAGTTCAGAGAACAGTCACAGCATTTTTCTCAGAATATACATAAAATACTTAGCACAGTGCCTGAACATAACTATACATTCTTAGAAGCTAACTTATTATAATTAATATTAATATTAACCAAAGTGACTAGACTTGGATGGATTAAAAGTTGTTTTAGGTAACAGGTACTTTTGGTCTTGGTACAAAAGTTGTATATCCCACCAAACTCTCTTGAGAGATTTTTAAGAAAAAATATGGTTTAGAATGATTTATTATATCAGTAAATGTGATAAATAATACTTATGTTTTGTTATTTCCTAACTAATTGGTGATGGTTCATTTGTTATCAGAAATCATTCCAATACCAAGAAATGCTATTAAAGAGACTTAACAACTTCTGTTTGCTAAAAATTTGTTACTACACACTACACAAATGCAACAATGATTAAGATGGTAAAATGCAAGGCAATTCAATTCTTATAGAAATATAAATTCTAAAACCATTGGCAAAGCTGCTTTACCTTCAGGGGCATTGGCATCACATCTCTTTGGCACAGAAAGAGTTGAATTGCCTTTATGGTCATCAGAGGTTGTATTGCTCTGAAAGATGAAAATATAGCTAAGTGTAAAGATTACATTAATAATTATATTTGTATTAAAAAATGATCACATTACAAATTTTATGCTGCTTTCTATTAACTACATCTATGTAATATTCTAAAAGGTAAATTTAATGCAAATTATGATTAGAAAAAAAAAGAATTATGGTAAATTTAACATTAGGGGTTTTTGCAACAATTCTTTAGGTCTCATGTTCAACAACAAAGTTTTTTCCCAGAACAATCAAATCCCACTTCTAGTCCAAACGTGGCATCGAAAAAGAAATATAGTACTTATTTTTAGGCTGTGAAACAGGCAAAGAGTATTTATTTTCCATGTGAAAGCATAATATTCTGAAAGAAGATCACCATGTCAGGGATGAAGCACAGAGAGAAAAAAGCAAGCAGTGAGAAATATGGTTCAGGTAAATCAGTACAGGGTCTCCCAAACTCAGATCATTCACAGAACTCCACCATGATCTGTGGCTTATCTGCTCTACCTACACTAGTCATTACCTAACATTTTAAATAAACTTACACTGTTATAGGTGATAATTGACCAAGGGTGTGATGTGCTTGTTAGATGTTTTTGTTTCTAATTACATATTAGGGTAAACAAAGAATGAAGGACCATGCAGGATAAAAAAACAGTGATCTGGGCACAGTATATTAATAATGAAAGAGTCCATTAAATCAATGTTTGAACAAGGCCCCGAGACACAGGTACAATTAAAAGCAATTTAGGAAAAGGAAACAAGCTAAACAAATATTGAATCAGACATGGCCAAAATATTCTAAATTGTCAGAAAATCCAAACTTGCTATTCAATTACACCTAAAAATTACAGTTGTTTTTAAAGAAATTAACAATATTAAGAAATCAGTGGAATAGACATGAGGATATCCATCATGTGAAAAGTAAACCCAGTTATTCAGAAATAAAATACTTGAAAGCCTCTCTTATGGGATTTATTGCAGCAATAAACAAGACATATTATGCTCACCAAAACTTTTTGGGGAGCCATATTAAAATTACTTACAACATTATTTTAGAAGAGGCATTATAAGTCAATAAAGTGCTAAGATAAAGCTCAATAGCTTTGTACAGTAGAATCCATTTAAGGAACAGTTATAATGAAATTCTGTGTGTTAATTTTAAAAAATGATATAAACAGACATACGAAAAGGAAAACCAGTTTTAGCAATATTAAAATGAACATGATGAGTTAATATGCTAACCATAAAAATTAAAACTTGCTCTTCAAAATGTAAACATAATATTGTACCTACCTCTATTAAGTAGTTTTGACTTCCATACATAACATACTGAGGAGCAAGACTGTAAATCATATAGCTAGTGTGAAGGACAATAAGCAGAAGTATCATGCAAAGAAATAAGAGTGCTTGGGGCCGGGTTCTGCCTCTTCTGATTTTATATAACTGGAAAGAAAAAATGAAAAAATTATTATTCGTAAAGCATTAAGCCTGGCTCTTGTGTTTTGAGGAATGATTTACACAGTTCAATCACTTCTTCCAAAATAAATATTAAAAATTCCTAGTCATTCCAAATAATTATAAAAATGAAAGACATTATTTTCCCCCAAAGCGTTTACATTTAACTTTATGTTTGTTTAAAAATTATGGGAGAGCATATACATCCAAAGGATCCTATAAATGATCATTAAAAACCTAAGACCTAGAAAACTTACTAGTATTCACATGGTTGGCTTCCAGATAAACCTTCGAAACTGTGTGTAACATGTGTTAGAAGTTCATAAAGCTAAGGATTGTGAACGAGATGCCTCTAGTTCTATCTAAAGATTAGAAGTATGCATTCAAACTATAAACACTAGTAATGAGTTCATGGTTTACATGTTTATGGCTTTATGTAATATGTCATATTATGGAACAACACCAGACTGCCAAGTTTATAAATTTACTAGATCATAAGATAGTACAGATTAACTGAACTCCTATTTTGGATGAGATGAAGATAAGATCACTTAAAAATGTACATTTCTCAGCTTCCCTTATACCTAGTAGTGGTCATGTACTAAAACACTAATCATCTAAAGGAAAGCTAGAACTTTCTAGGAAATCATTGACATACGTTTAAGTCCCTTTCTCCTCTATCCTTTTTTTCCATATAGAACATGGACAGGATAAATTAAGCCACAGCAGCTGACTGCAATCATGAGAAAGAGATATTGGACCTGACACTTTTGAGTTACTAAAGCAATACAAGACCCCCCCAATCCAATAGCAAGAAGTCTTTCATTAGTGTAAACCACTATTTAATGTGGTTTTCTTTTACTCACAGTTGGAAATGGTGTCTGATTCACCTTCATTTTAAAATTCTTAAATTACCTCCAAATGAGTAAAGAAATAATAAATCATAATATTTGTCTCTTGGTATCTGTGGGGGATCGGTTCTAGGACTCACTGTGGTACTCCAGTATCTTAGTGTACTTGCATATAACCTATGTCATCCTCCCATATACTTTAAGTCAACTCTAGATTACTTAAAATAAATAATATAATGTAAAAATTGTGTAAATAATTATGCTGCATTTTTAGGGAATAATGACAAGGAGAAAAGTCTGGACATGTTCAGTTAAGTAACAAAGTTTTTCAAATTTCTTCTGTCCGTGGTTGGTTAAATCTACAGATATAGAACTCACAAATATAGAGGGCTGATAGTAGAAAACTCAAGTCCTACAGGGGAGAGTCATGCTTTGAGCTTTGGTGTATTTATTGCATTTCAATGTGTTCTATACAGCCAAACACTAAGAAAGATAATATATCTTATAGACAAAGGTTGGTCAGCCTTGGCACTGTTGACATTTGGGCTGATAAATCTTTGCCCTATACACTACAGGATGTTTATCAGCCATCTCTTGCCCCTACCCAATAGTTCCCAGTAGTACACCCTAGTTATAACAACTAAAAATGACTCCAGACATTGCCAAACATCTCCAGGGGGCAAAATTGCTCCTGATTAAGAACCCCTGCTCTAGAAAAAAAGCACTCATGTTAATATGAGGTGAAAAAGCTAATATTCCCATCATTATTGGTATCAAAATGCAACATACATTCTAAATATAAGATAATTTGTCATAATGGAGATACTGCACAAAATAATGAGAAAAAACAAAAATATAGTATATACTTACTCTAATCCAAAAAAACCATATACCAATATTTCGAATTCCCGCCATTGAAGTAAAAATAAAGTACATAATAATAATTGTTATAAGAATATAATCAAGAGGGAAAACCTGGAAAAAGATAAAATCAAATTTAATATACAAACTATAACCCTTTAGAATTCACATAAAATTAACTGAAAATGTCATTATTTGTAGTTGATAAATGTTTCAACTATCAACCCTGATTTAGATTAAGCTATAATGATAATACCATAAACTAGTATCAAACTATGAGCAAATTATTTAGTACCATTATCCTAAGAAAAATCCTAAAATAAATTAAACTACAAGTTATACTTTCATATATGAAGTAAAAGACTTCATTGAGAACTGAAAGCAATTTTTTGGAAAAGCAATTGTTTGGAAAAGTTTGCCTATATCATATACTATTTTCCAAATCAAAGTATGTTTAGCTAAAAATCCAGCAACATATTGACACAATTATCTTGAATGCAACATGTCAATGTAGAAATTATATACATAAGAAGAGTCAAATTTGCAAAGAGCACAAGCATATGTCAAAGTATTAACAAGTCTGCATCATAATAATTTTAAATGGGACAGGGTCAGAATGTTTGATGGAGTACAAAACAAGTGATATTTTACTTACTGTTTGTAGCAAAGGCAAAAGCATATTAAGTGGATTACTCAGGTTGGCTCCAAAAATTATGAAACCAGAATCTATTCCAGCTGAATGAAGAGCTTTATCTAAACTGCAACCAAAAAACTGAGAGTGAATTTGTTTACTATTCCTTTCCAGTCAATCTAGAAAGAATATCTTCATAACTTAAGACTCAACTTCTTTGAGTCAAAGAAAACCATGGAAAACAAATTAAATCTCACCTAAATTTCTCACAGATATTACTCAGGTGATGTAGAATAAAGAAATACTCTTTGGATTTTTTTATCCACTCTTTGAGCTAATGTTGTACAATACTTCAGGTAGTACAGCTATCTAAGATGAATAGGCTACACTAACAGAATTCAGCATGAATAATATATATCATTATATTATTTGTGTAAGTGCTATAGAAAATGTGTCTACTATACTTACTTTGATAGGAAGAGAGAAATTACAAACAGCAATGCAACCAAGATGAAAAATATTCCCCAAATGATCTGAAAGCAAAAATATATTCATTATAATATAGTTCTGAAAGTTGATATGAAAAGTACAAAACCATTATGCTCATTGAGCTGCCAACATATAATAACCTGAAATAATCCAAGACATATAAATTCAATATATAGTTTGACATCTGTGCCTAAATTTTCATTATGAGATGACTTGATTAAGAACATGTACACAAAAGTGATAAAACATTTTTAAAATTCTTCATAAACAGGTAAATGAAACTCTGATCAAACACAAGGTTTTTTATTCCATTATAATGAAATATAAACTTCAATGCTAAGTGAAAAATACATTAAGACAAACGCACACATACACACACACAACCTGAAACCAAGAAATTCATCAGGTTTTCTTATTCTGTTAGTTAAAACTAAGAAAATTTGGAATTTGGAGTATTTTCCCACAGAAACAACAATGTATATACAGCCAGCATACATATCAATATCCAACAGAGAAAAGTCTAGCTAAATGGTACTACTTCTGAAATAGAGTATTAACAGCACTGAAAAAAATGTCATGCAAAAAGTTTCTGGGCTGAAGTGGTAAAGCGCCTGTGCCTGTCTAGAAGCACGAAGCCAAGTTCAAATTCCAGTATCACCAAAAAAAAGAAGAATCAATGTTTCTATGGAAAAATATGTTAAGCATTATAAATGACTTTTTTTTCTGTTGTATAAAGTTTTATTGGGAATGGGTGGAACTGAGTTTCTGGTTCAGAATGAAAAAGTGAAAAAGAGTGGAACTGATGCTAGCAATATTTGGGCTTTTTTTCACCTGCTATCTTCAAGTTCCAGGGACAACTGGGCTAGAGTTGTCAAAGCCACAAAAGAGAAGAGAGGCTTACAAAACACAGGTTAAGTACTTCTGGTTTTTCCTTCAACTGGAATTGATAGAAATAGATAAAATCATGAATGTTAGGGAGATTTTCATCATACTTCATTTAATTACTGAAGTATATATTAGAATGTTGAGAGAAAAGAAGAAATAAAATAATAACATACCATCCTGCTTATCGTATAAGGATCTTTTTGGAAATAATTCCTGGCTTCCATTCTGGGAAATTCTTTAATCAAATGGGTAACTTGGGGATGGTTGGGAAGGAAAGAGTTGGCAAAAGCAGGGACCAAGAAGCCTCTAGCCAGTCATCTCTTGAAACAAGAGTATTACTGCATTTATCTATTTAATAGACTAGCATTCCACATTAGAATTTATTATTTAAAGAGTTTCAGGGCTGGGCATGGTGGTACATCCCTGTAATCCCAGCTACTTGGGAGGTAAATGTAAGAGGACCCCAGTCTGATGCTGGCCAAGGCAAAAGCAGAAGACTCCACCTGAAAAACAAACTAAAAGTAATTGCCTAGCAAGTCTGAGACCCTGAGTTCAATCCCCAGGACCACCAGAAAAAGGCAGGAGGGCTCACTGTTACCAAACTTTGAAGTGATTCCTTTGTAGTAACAAATGCTTATTAATAAAGGGCATAAAGGTATTACAGAAGCTTTTCCTACCAGTATCTGATATCTAGATGAAATGGAAGGCAACAGCTTCATTCTGAGGATCAGCAAATGAATCATATTGCTCCCTCATTGTCTGTTAATAAAAATTACCTTGTAGCATGACGCAGTATACCACTACATACAAATAGTTCTGAAAATTAAGACTCCCTTCCCTTGATGTACATTTTGGCAAAAAAGTAAAGAAAAAAATTTCTTAGCTATTTTAACCAATCTGTTAGGATGAATGACCCCGAGTTAGGTTATTTAATTAGTTATTTACAAAATAAATGTTTTTAAAAACAAATACTTTATAAAGGCCAAGAAAACTGCATATATTTAATAATGAAAATTTAAGTTAGCACTTACAGAATCATGTCAGTGATGACCATGTTGGGTAGACCTAGAAGTCATATATTATACTCTAGTTATAAGGCCAAAGTTGAAATGAACTATTAAGCTCCAGAGGTAACACCAATAAAAATAGTGGAGTACGAACCTGTGAAAATTTTCTCTTCCATATAATCAATAAGAAAATAGCATAAATGGTCATAATTAACTTTCTCAACCTTTTGGAAATTAGTCCAAGACATGGAACAGTCCAGGAGTGAATCTCATAAGAACACAGAGTTCTGTGACACTTTAACTCATTCTAGTTCTGCTATGCTAATGTAGTAGATGCCTTGAAAAATATTCATAAAAGATAGCAGTGTAGCAGCAAAAAAGGGGCTGAAGCTCTTTTAAGGTCTCATTGCCAGAGAGGTGTCATTATTTAACCTGACTGGTGGTTGGCTGGAAGACCCCACCTGCAAGTTTATCTGTATTTGATCTGAACTGGTGCTCGCACAGTGCTAAAAGCCTTTTCCCACGAGTGTTGGCCAAAAAGAAAAAAAAAATTTACAAGCCATCTATGAACTTCATCACCTCAAAGCCAGTGGACAATGCCCCAAAATAAACTAACCAGAAATCTTAAAAGGAAAGCCTAGGGACTGAGATATCCACAGGGATTTTGTAAAACTCTGACATCCTCCCAGAAATCTAGAAGGTCCTGTCTATGCTCGGGGCTGTGTGCATGACAAGGATGGGAGAAAGCCTAAATTCTCACCTCTGGCTGGCACTGAGGCTCTGTACTAGAAAGAAGTACAGTGACCATACACAACAAAGGATACAGATATTAGTTACAGAATTGGTTCACAAAAATCACTAAACAAACAAATAACAAGAACAAAGATAATAAAAAACAAACCCTTAATATTTAAGACCTTATATTAGATAATAGGTTTGTATCAGTGCTAATTTCCTTTATCAGATATGTATTCTGCAAATATTTTCTCAGCCTGTGGCCTGTCTTATCATTCTCTTAACAATGTCTTTCATAGAGCAGAAGTTTCTAATAAAGCCCAACATTAGACAGACACATAGATACACAGATATGTATGTGTTTCATAGATAGTGTTTTTGGTGCTGTAATTAAAAAGTCATTGCTACAAACAATGTATACACATGTAAGTAAAAATGATAAAAGGAGAAAAAAAATAAAAACTCATTGCCAAACTTGAGGTCACCTAGATTTTCTTCTGCTATGTGCTAGAAGTTTCACAGCTTTGTGTGATGGTTAATCTTGATTGTCAATTTGGTTGAATTGAGAGAAGTTTAGGAGATTAGTAATAAAGCCACACTTCTGGGTATGTCTGTGAGAGTGTTTCTTGAGATAACTGGTGTGTGAGACAACTAACAGGGAACACCCACTCTGAATGTGGGTATCACTGCCCAAAAGGCTGGGTGAAACATGGAATAAAAGCAGGAGGAAGCCCATTAGCGCAGGTTTGCTGTTTCTCTCTGCTTCCTGGGGGCCATGAGGTGAGCAGCTTTCCACTGCTATGTTCTTCTGCTGTGATGTCTCTGCATTGCCACAGGTCTAGATGTAATGGAGTCAGCAGACAATGGACTAAAAATTCTGAAACCATGAGCAAAAATAAATCTTTCTTCCTTTAACTTGATTTTTCAATTATCTTGTTAGAATTAAAGAAAAAGTAACACATTTTGTATCTCACAGTTAGGCTTACAATCTATTTTGAGTTAGTTTTTTGTGAAAGGTAAAAGGTTTGTGTCTAGATTCACTTTTTTGTATACACACGTAAACATGTCCCAGCACCATTTGTTTAAAGACTATCCTTGTTCTTTCATTAAAGATACACTGATCATATCTGTACAATGGGCTCTCTATTAGGTCCCACTGATTTATGTGTCTGTTTTCAGCAATATCACACCTTGACTACTGTCACACTCCTGAGTCTTGAAGCTGGGTGGTGTTATTTATATTGTGTTGGCCATTGAGTCTTTTCCTTTCCATATAAGTTCAGAATTGGTTTATTGATATCTACAAAATAACTTGTTTAAACTTACATAAAAGAGAAACAGAATTTTGATTGGTATTATGTTGACTCTACAGAACAAATTAGGAAGAACTGACATTTTAAGAGTAAAATGTGTAGTTTTAGAGACATGAATGAGCAGGACAGGAACCATTTTAGGTATTAACCACACCTAAAATGTCATTTTTATTAAAATGTAATAAAGATGATATGTGGTACTCTACGAAGAACATCAGTTAAGACAGTACTTTTCATAGTAACAAATATTATCAGTGCCACTAATTTTATACATGACACCATCTAAACCTATAATGGATCAACAACTCTCTAGAGTATCTGTATTTAATAGCATACCATTCCTCAAAATCTCTTCTCTCTCCCTTTTATGTAAGTTTAAAACTTTGCATTCACTTCATTTAAGCCAACAGTTCTCCACTTGGTGTACCTCCTTGCAAGAACATTTAGTAATGTCTGGAGACATCTCATGATGGAAGTGGGGGCTAAGCATCCTCTAATGCACAGGTCAACCACTCCCCAACAAAGAGTAGCTGGGACTCAAACAATTGTGTGGAGACTGGGAAACTCCAATTTAAATGAGTCTGTATGGTGCTACAAGGAAGCATGAATAAATTATCACTGTAGCAAATGTATGCTTTTTAGCATTTTCTCAAAATCAATTGTTTTAAGATACTAATTTACTCAAACAAATCTCCAATGCTAGAATTCAAAGCTGTGTGGCAAAATGAAGCAAACATTCAAAATGGGCTGCTTCTTTTTTAAGACACTCTTCCTATTAGGCTTCACAGCTGAATCATCCATATCCACATATACCCAGAAACTAAATAAAAATAATAGAAAGTAAGATTATCATAAGTGGAGACTCAAACCAAAGTTATAAATGTAAAACAAAGGATTTTTATTATATTTTAATACTGCCTTAAATAAAATACCTCATTGCTTCCCTTTATTTTCTCCAAGAGCAATGTCTGTTATAAAGAACTTGTTTCTTTTTTAGGAAGTATGTCTTTTACAGGTAGACTGAAGGATCTGAAAAGGGGAGGCATTTTTCTTTTTCTTCTTTCGGCAGTATTGGGGTTTGAACTCAAATTGGGGTGCTCTACC